ATAAAAAACGAAATACACCGAAGTACATTTCGAAGGACGGCGTGCTGATAGGGGGATCCATTTTTCTTCCTGGCTAACGATACTTCTTCACTCTAGTTTTGCTTTCTGGGTTGGAAAAGATTTTGACTATGCTGAGCTGGAGGATTAGAATAATGAGGTTGATGTGCTGGATGTGGTTTCTCATGCGCCTGTTTCACAGAACCCGTTGGGTAGCTTTTTTCCATCTGAAAACATGATAGAAGTCGATATACAGAAAGAAATTAGTTTTAACCTGTGCTGGCAATGTGCTATCTCGTTCTACCAACTCGTGATTATCGTCAGAATTATCCGAAGACGGCTGTTCCGTCTCAGATTGACGACGATCCTGAAACAATCAAATTTGAACCTCTTGATGAAAATTCAAGAACAAAAGCACACAGGAAGAAAATAACGAAAAGCAAGCGCAAAAACAACGAACGAACTGACTTTCTTGGTGACAATTCTTCGTCCTCCAACTTTCTCAGCAGGAAGATGTCCACCCTTAGTTTCTGGTTCCTCAACAGCCATAGTTGCTTTGCTTCGAATCTGAAACAAAAAATTTGAAATGAATAGAAAATGATAATAAAAACCGATCACGAAATGAAGAATGGATCAACGAAAGAAAAGGCAACTATGAGGTAACTCTTATTTTATCTATAACTGCAAAAGTGACAATCAGCAAGAGATAATTCTAGTGCACAGTGCACAATAGATAGTAGCACTCAACAAGGAAATAATCCAATGAGAGATTCCCGGAATTCTGCTGGAGAACTTCGCAAATAAAAATCCGAAGTAAAATTAATGGCAGTAGAGCGTGCTTTATCGACACAACGAAGGTCAGTATTTGTTGAGTAAACATGAGGATTTAAGAAAAATTAGCCACAAGTGGTAAACCCCTCCCTCGAAAGCAAAATCTCTTTTGCATATTATTGGCATGTAAGGTCTCGGGCAGAGTTCACGCAATTTCATCGCCCCGATTTTCCCAAGAAGACAAACAGTTACGAGTTTATTGCATGCCGATCATCTT